TCTGACCCTCCCCCCTCTCATGTGCTCTCTCTCATTCTCTCTCTCAAATAAATAAATAAAATCTTTAAAAAAAAAAATCATTTTCCTCACAGATATGAAATTTGGGTGAGGCTCTGCTGGGATAGGTCATCTCTGCCCTGCATGGGGAGCTCAGCTGGGCCTGGAGGATCTGTTTCCAAGATGGCACACCCACATGGCTACAAGTTGGTTCGGGCTATTAGCTGGAAGCTCAGCCACGTGCCTCACTTACTCTCTACACGGGCCTTCCTCCGTGTGGTGGCTGGGTTCCCAGAGAAGTAGTGGAAGTTGCCAGTCTTCTCGGGCCTTTGTCCAGAAACCAGTGTGGCTGGTTTTGGTCAAAACAGTCCCGGAAGCCACCCTAATTCAAGGCGAGGGGACAAAGACCTCACATCTTGATAGGAATCGTCATAACCTTTGTGGCCATCTTTAATGTACCATGGTGCTTCGTCGTGCAGGCTTCTGGACACTTCTCCTTTTCCTGATAGTCATCTTATTTGAAACTGAAACATAGCCAGTGTTAAGGGGGCTCATCTCATACATTTTCATGGTTGCTTTCTTTCTTTCTTTTTTTTTTTTTAAATGTTTTATTTATTTATTCATGAGAGTCAGAGAGAGAGAGGCAGAGGCAGAGGGAGAAGCAGGCTCCCCGCCTAGCAGGGAGCCCGATACGGGACTCGATCCCAGGACCCTGGATCATGACCTGAGTTGAAGGCAGACGCTTAACCATCTGAGCCACCCAGGCGCCCCATAGTTGCTTTATTTCTAAACTACAACGAAGGGCTATAACCCACTGTGAACATTTGAAGCTAGATCGCATTATCTTTTTTTTTTTTTTTTCTGGTGGTGAGACTTTTCTGCATCTAATTAATTTATAATGATTTGGAATGACTTGAGAGACTGGTCTGAGACGGTAATATCTCCAAGAGAATGAAAAAAACAGGTGACAGATTTCTGAAACATTTTGCAATGAGCACGAAACTCGGGGCTTTCTCCAGAGGAGCAGGCAAATCAGTATGCAGAACTGAGAAAGGAGTGAGACAGGGTATTCTGCTGGTCTTTTCTTCCCTGCTTAAAAACATCTGTTACTTTTTACTTCAGGGTTGATGGATTAGTCATGTGATGTACTTGGATTAAATACTTGGGCTAAAGCCTCTCATATATTTGCTCATCAGCTTCACTTGGTGGTAGATTTACATTCGGTCTGGATGCCAGATTGAATTAAATGCTTCTTTAAAGCCTGCCGTCTGACAAAAACCTTTCCCCAGTCAGCACTTTTACTGTATTAAAAAAAATTAGCATCTGCAGGGAAATGATGCAGCCTACGGGTTTCTTTTCTAGGGAAGAATCCAATTTAGCTTTTGGGGATAATGTTGTAATTGGTCAGGGAACCGAGGATTCTAACTGAGGCTGGAGCCTGGGCGGGGGGTGGATGCTCCAGACTCCAGAGCTTTCCTCGTCCCATCTGAGTCATCCTGCCCCAACCTGAATCACAGGACGTCTGGTTGATGGAGTGGATGAATACTCTTTTTGAGGGTACGTTTTTGTGTAATCAGCAGTTTAACATTTCCCTGCCACCTGGTGGGGCCACACACACTTTATTTCCTGTTTCTTAGGTTTGAGAATTGTGTGGTTCCTTAATCTCTTGTCAGTCATTGTTCACAAGAAGGAAACCCATAGGTAATGTGGTTTACTTTAATGATTTAATTTTGAGAGGATGGCTCGAAGGAAGTGGATTTTCGAAACCCCTCACCACCACAGACCTGCTGTGTGATTGTTCTCAGCAGAAGAATGGGGAGACTAGGGTAGGAATGGGGGATAGGATTATCTATCTCTTAGGGTTGTGGTGACAAATTAATGCAGGTAAGCTATTTAGTGCATGCATTAGTTATCTATTGCTGTGTAACAAAACACCCCTCCACCCCCCACCCCGAAATTTAGCAGCGTGAAACAACAGACATTATCTCAAAGTTCTGTGGATCAGGAGTCAGGGAGTGGCTGCACTGGGTGGTTCTGTTTGGGGGCCTCTCATGAGGCTGCGTTCAAGGTGGTGGCCAGCACTGCAGTCATCTAAAGGCTGGATAGGAGTAGGATCTGCTTCTAGGCTTATGCACATGGCTCTTGGCAGGTATTAGTTCCTTGCCACATGGACAAGGAACTCTCCATATGTGCCTGCATGTCTTTGCAACATGACCCGAGTGAGTGATGAGAGAACAGCCTCTTGGTGGGTGAGTGCTACGGTCTTTTTATAACCTAATCTTGAAAATGACATCCTGTCACGTCTCCTCTGTTCGCTATTAGTGAATCAATCAGTCCTGCTCTCACCCAACAAGGAGGGGAATGAGCTCCAGCTCTTTGGAGGAGAAGTAGCAAAGAATTTGTGAGCCTATCTTTAAAACCACAGCATAGTCCTGGGTACATAGTAAATACGTTAGTAAATGATTAGATGTTAGGAGTAGTTTAGCAGATAAATTCACTACTTGGTGATTCACTTTCTAGACAGACTTTAGCTATACCCCCATTTTTATTTGGGGAACAAAAAGAATTTGGGGCTCTACAGCAGATTGGAGATTACACCCAGGAGACCTCCACAAAGTGAGGATTTTTGATCTTTCATTTTCTGTCTCTTGGGAGGGAAGATTCTTCCAGAGATCTCCTCTGTTGTGCTGGGTCAGTCAATCCAAAGACTGTAGGAGAGGAGCACACACCGCTTAAAAGTCCCTTCTCTGGCGGGGGGGCACATCTTCCCCCTCTCGACACTGGGTGCAGTGTCTTCCTGACTTGGGAGAGGGACGAAACCATGGGTACCACTGGGACCGGGCAGAGCATGTCCCCTGGGAGGGCTCCCCGCTCCTCTTGCCCCCAGCAATTTTAAATCCCAAGAGCAGAGATGATTTTTTAAAAAATAAATGTATTTATTTCACTATGGAGTGTAACCACAAATTTGGACAAAGGAAAAGGAAAGAAAAATGCCTTCACAAACCTAATATAACTACTGTTGACGTTTTGTGAGGTGTCCTTTCCAGAAGTCTCCCCCGTCTGTGGCTTTCTAGTTTTACAGTTATAAGTAGTTCACAACTACAATCTCATGGTCTGCTTCTTTTCGCTTGGCTTTGTCACACATGTATTTTTATGGTATGGTCTGTCACCTTCTCTGAGAGGTTTTGAGAGCCGTGTAGTATTTTATTGGGTGAATGTCCCATGATTTTCTTATCCTTTTTTTCCTCATTAACTCCAATTGGTTGAGTAATAAAGATATTATTTATTTTTATGTATTGTATTCTGCTGTCACTATTTTACCCATGCTGTCTGCCTTTTAATTTTTATCCTTTTCTTTAAATGGTCACATTAGTTAAGTATGGGCGAGGGGTGCCTGGCTGGCTCGGTCAGCAGAGTGCTTGATCTTGGAGTTGGGAGTTTGAGGCCCACATTGAGTATAGAGATTACTTAAAAAAAAAGAGAAAAATTTCACCTGAAACTAATATCACACTGTATGTTAACTAACTGGAATTTAAATAAAAACTTAAAAAAATTAAGTAGACTGGAAATGTTAAACCTTCTCCTCTGGGAATTACCCCATCGCTTCTGAAGTTGGACAGTCCTTTTACTCTAACACCCCCTTGTCACCTCCCGTTTCTGTATGGCTTTTAAAAGTTGCTCTGGAATTGGGGCTCCTGTATGGCTCAGTCGGTTAGGCGTCTGCCTTCGGCTCAGGTCATGATCCCAGGTCCTGGGATCGAGCCCCGCATCAGGCTCCCTGCTTAGCGGGGAGCCTGGTCTCCTCTCCCTCTGCCTGCTGCTCTGCTTAGTTGAGCTCTATCAAATAAATAAAATCTTTAAAAAAATTGCTCTGGAATTAATTCTGAAGTATGAAATAGGGATTTGAAATGAGATTTACTTTCTTTTCCAAATTACTGACCAGTTTTACAAGGAGAATACCAGGGAAGGCATCTCTAATCAGCTGAACCATGGAGCCATGCCTTAATGAAACACAAACAAGGCTGGCTGAAATTTTGGTGGAATGAACAATTTGGCAGATGATGGGAGAAGCAGCAGATGTCACATAGTTAGGCATCTGTGAATTATTTGTTGCAGCACCTTGAACTTTGATAGGCGCTCAGCTGCCGTCAGTGGCTGGTGAGGTGTGATGGGTGTAGCAGGGTTTGACATTATGGGAACAGTCCTAGGGAAAAGATTTGTTTCAAAAAAGGTCTTGGAAACGGAAGCGGTGGGGGTGAGTGGGTAATGGGGCCCAAATCTGGGTTACAAATCATCTGTAAGAAATATGGCGAACCTAACCGTCTGGGACTAGGGGGAGATCTTTAGATGCTTCCGTCCCCAGGGAAGCTCTGCCAAGTATTGTCACAGGGTAAGCACCTCCCCAGCAGGCTCAGGCTGCCAAGTGTCACTGTTCTAACTGCACACGACTAGAGGGAGAGGTGTGTGCAGACAGGCAGTGGGCCTGGTGGTTGAGGCCAAGAGGATGTTTCCAGAAAAGGGCCGTGGATCCAGAAAGCCCGTGTCCCTCGAATTCTGAGTGGATACAGGGACCCGGAAGAACCGATGAAAAAGCAATCATCTAGGGTCCTGGGCTTTGAAAAAAATCACCGTGATTATTTTCTGTACAAATGCTTTCCATGGCCTACTCCTACCTGGGACGAAAGTGCCTGACGGGAGTGTAGGAAGGGGGCGGATTCCTGGTGAGGAGGAAGAGTGAGAACAGCTAGGGCAACCAGGAAGAGGCATTGTCGTTGTCACACAAATGCAGTTAGAAATGCCTCCTTGCACACGCTGAGCCAGGCTCCCTGTACAAACAGCAGGTCAATCCCCTCGGAAAGAATCCTCACTGTAAGCCTGGGGACAGTTTTACAAAACTTGCTCAGGCAGACCAGAGGCAAGGCATTGTTCAGGGTTTCAGAGGGCAGGAGCAGGGCAAGGGGACGGTGCCGAGGAGGAGAGAGAAGACACAGATGCTGATGATGTAAGTCAAGGAGTGCTGTCTTGGGGCGGGTGCAGCTCTGAGTCCTGCTGCTCAGGCAGAAACCCGCGCAGATAAGGTGGCTTTGCAGGAGCTGTCCCGTCTCTGCCTGGTGATAGCAGCCGGGCCTGTGATGATAAGCTGGGCTGGCCCAGCCTGGGTTCTGGAAACAGAGGTGGGGGCAGGGTGAGGCAGAGTGGCCCAGGCCTCAGGGGACCCAGACAGGGATGCCTGGCAGAAGCCTGGAGTCACCTAAGCTCTCTGAGCTGATGTCTTCATCAGAGGCGACAGTCCCACCTGCCCTAGAGGGTTGAGGATGTTAGAGCTTCGGTTTAAAGTGCCTGCCATGAACCCTTATGATGATGAGGACAGCACCACCTGTGACACGGTCGCCTGGTTCATCCGACGAGTAGACCCGAAGGAAATGGGACCGCTGGGCACTTGATGGGGACAGAACCGAGCCAGCCTGGTGCCCAGTGACAGTTCACTTGCAGACAAGCCTGGCTGTGGAAGGCGGCTCCCACCTGGCAGAGGATGCCCTTCCCGGGATCCCGCCTCCCAGGCATCCAAGGACCAGACCAGAGGGGAGGCCACTGCATGGCCACCCCTCAGAGTGGCCTTGGTCACTGTGACAATCTGAGTGGTCTCTGGCAACCATGCGTTGGTGCGACAGAGGGCTGGCTGGGAGCCGCCTGGCGGTCACAGCTCCTCCTTGTTGCTGTCGAGGGGCTGGACCGGAGGCCCTGGGGCCCGAGAGCTACTTAGTGGCCCCTGGCCCTGGTCCTCACGGCGCCTGCCCACAATGGTGTAGTCCCGGAGGAGCCCGCTCTCCACTCCGTGCCGCCGGAGGGTCTCAGTCCCCACGAGCCCCTGCATTCTCAGGTACCCCTGCTGGCAGAAGGGCGGCAGCTTCTGGTGTGTTAGGGCGAACAGGAAGCAGGATTCTACACAAAAGCAAAAGCAGATGAATGAGTAAGAGAGGCATGGGGAGAGGTGCAGGAGGGAGGCCGGGGTGCCGATGCCCCGGGGCCTCACCCAGGGCCCTCCACCCCTTGAGCAGGGGAGCTGACTTTTGTGGGGATCTCACAACTGACCTGCGTAGCCAAGGATCTCGTCCTTCCCTGAAGTTCAAAGGAGGGTGTCCTGACATTCTGGAAGAACGAGGCCCCAAATGGAAAGCAAACCACAGAAATGACTCAACTCCCAGAGATCTGGGCCCAACATGATGCTCTGCAGGGAGCCAGTCCTACTGGGAGCTCAGCCACTGAGGAGCAGACCCTCAGCCTTCTCTTCTGGAAGCTGGCCTGGCTGGGGCCGGGAGCTTGGTGGTCAGTCCTGTTTTGAGCTCAGAGCTGCCTGCATGGCTTTATTCCCTTAGCCATCTCTGGGTTGCAAATACTGTGTGCACAGCACTGTTGTGAGCCCTGTGGGGGGCGGAAAGATAACACTGGTAAACAGCAGAAAGCTGGTGCATGGGTCAAGTTGGCTCTATCAGGAAACAGCTGTGGGTATTTATTATTCAGAAATATGAAGAAACCACCAGAAGAGCCAGAAGTAGTTCCTTCCGGGACTGAGGGTGGAAGTGAGAAAAAGTCTTTTAGCTAAGTGCTTATGTAACTTTGACTTAAAAAACAGAACAGATGAAAGAGATAGGGGCTCAGTCTTCTCAGGGATTTAGAGACAGGATGGGAAGGAGCGAACGTCCAAAAACTGTCTTGAGTCTTTTATCTCAAAACACCCGGGCACATTACAAAGGATGTTGTGAGGCCCGCGTGGGTGAAACAGGCTGTAAGGAGCCACACACAGAGGTACTTCTGACTTCATTTCTGACTTCTGGCCCAGACAGCCCCTGGCAGAACAGGCCATGACAAGCCTCTCTGAGCAGGGAGGACCGCAGGTGCAGGGGGAGGATGGGAGAGCGGCAGCAAGGTGGCCTCTTGGCAAGCACCACCTTCTGATGACATATGTCACCCCTCCTGCAGAGGCCTGGTGGGGGGCAGAGAAGCCCAGCCGAGTCCGGGGCCAGCGCTAACAGCTGCGCATCAGCTGTGGGGGTGGAGGAAAGCCCACTCTGCCAGCTGGCCCTGAGTTGGGAGGACGCTTCCAAGCTGAAGGCAGGGACGCTCAGTGGCTTGTAGTGTTGAGCAGGGTCTAGGGAGTGGGAGCCAGGAGGCTCTAGGGCCTGGATGATGCATTCGTGGCAGCCATAACCCAGGGCGGGACACGCTCCCTAATGGGCATGGCCATCTTTGAGTACTCCTGAAACCTCGAGAAACAGGCAGGGATGTTGTAGCTGAGATCTCTAGACCTGCACCGTGTCAATTTCCCAGGCGAGCGTGCGGTCATAGCTGAGTCTGCAGAATGCTAGCACTTCAAAGTTGCTTAGCCCTGTGCTATGAATTACCTCAGAGCATCCACATATATTTAGACGATTAGCCTACACTACTGTTTTAAGCCAGCTCTCTTAACATATGCATTTTATTTCCAAATTGACTGAGGATGTCGCCTGGGGTGACAAGGACACCTGCTCTCTGACCTGTAGGCCAGAGACTGACCATCTCGAACCTGATTTGATTTGAATAGTACCTAATATACAGCTGGTGTTCAACATATGTTTGCTGAACAGAAAAGGGTAGATATCCTAGGCAGTCAGGGGGTTTTAAAAAAGACTGAAATTTGGCCTATTTCTGTCAGTTCTCCCTCCGGATCCTCAGACTTCTCTTGTCAGAGCTACCTTCCAGTTCACCAATTCTCTCTTCGTCTCTGTCTAATGTGCTACTTTATCTTTAGGTTGAGTTCCTTTTCTTTTTTAGATTTATTTACTTATTTTAGAGAAAGACAACATGTGAACAGGGGGGAGGGGCAGAGGGAGAGAGGGAATCCCAAGCAGACTCCTTGCTGAGCGTGGAGCCTTGATGCAGGGCTCGATCCCAGGACCCTCAGATCATGACCTGAGCCAAAATCACAAGCTGAATGCTTAAGTGGCTGAGCCCCTAAGGCGCCCCTAGGTTGAGTTTCTAGTTACATATTTTTTCATTTCCAGAAGTTTTATTTGGGTCTTTCTGAATGCTGCCCAACTATATTTTTGGTAATCTCCTTTTTCATTTCCTTATATATTTTAGACAGACTTTGTATCCTCTGTTTGTAACCATTCCAATTCCCATAGTCTTTTTGGCTTGATCCAGCAGTTTGTTGTTTCTGCTAATGCTCCCTTGTGGCAGTTTATGTCCTTTTGTGTTAAGTGCTTTTTGTTTGGGGGTGGGGGGTGGGTCCAACTCACTCGGAACTTTATCTGTGGGAACTTTTTGAGCCCTAGTTTTTTTTAAATTCATTTGAGAGCGAGAGAGAGAGTGGGAGGAGGAACAGAGGGAGAGGGACAAGCAGACTCTATGCTGAGCATGGAGCCCAATGCAGGGCTGGATCCCAGGACCCTGAGATCATGACCCGAGCTGAAACCAAGAGTTGGTCACTTAACTGACGGAGCCACCCAGGCACCCCAAGCCCTAGGTTTTTTTTTTTTAAATGTATATTTGTATTTCTCTAGTTTTATTTTATTTATTTTTTAAAAGATTTTGCTTACTTAAGATATGTTAAGAAAAAAAAAGAAGAAGAAGAAGGTAGCGGGAGGGGAGGAATGAAGCGGGGGAAATCGGAGGGGTGGACGAACCATGAGAGAAGATGGACTCTGAAAAACAAACTGAGGGTTCTAGAGGGGAGGGGGGTGGGAGGATGGGTTGGCCTGATGGTGGGTATTGAGGAGGGCACGTTCTGCATGGAGCACTGGGTGTTGTGCACGAACAATGAATCATGGAACACTTCATCTAGAACTAATGATGTAATGTATGGGGATTAACATAAGAATAAAAAAAAAAATTACAAAAAAAAAAAAAAAAAAGACACCGACTAGGGGCGCCTGGGTGGCTCAGCCGTTAAGCGTCTGCCTTCGGCTCAGGTCATGATCCCAGGGTCGTGGGATCGAGCCCCGCATCGGGCTCCCTGCTCCACGGGAAGCCTGCTTCTCCCTCTCCCATTCCCCTTGCTTGTGTTCCCTCTCTCGCTATCTCTCTCTCTGTCAAATAAATAAAATCTTTAAAAAAAAAAAAAAAAAGATTTTGCTTACTTGAGGAAGAGAAAGAGAGAAAGTGCACAAGAAGAGGGGAGGGGCAGAGGGAGAAGCAGATTCCCACTGAGTAGGGAGCCTGACGTGGGGCTCAATCCCAGGACCCTGGGATCGTGACCAGACGCTTAACCAACTGAGTCACCCAGGCGCCCCTTTCTCTAAAGTTTGTTTCTTCACAGAAGACTTGCATTTACTTCTGTGATTTTTACACCAGTGTGAAGTTTGGCCTCAAACTCACATGAGTGAGGCTTAGTGGTTAGAAATTCTCAGGGGAGATTTTCCCTTATTCTACCCAGAGCCAAAAGCATGAGTCTCCACCATCTCCCTCTTGAGAATGTTTTGTGTCTCCTACTTGGGTCACTGAGATCTAAGCTTAAGTGAAGGTCTCTAAACAGACCTCCCACCCTGCTCCAGCCTTACCTTCCCACCCCCAAGTACTGGTCAGTTACCCAGGCTCTAAGCTACTACTGATGATTGGCAGATATCCCACGTCCAACAAGGGCTTTATGCTTTTCTTAGAGTTCCCTTTTTTTCCCTGCCAGTTCTTTAAAAATGACATTCTATTCAGCAACTCTAGGTGTGCCGTACTGGGAAGGGTCTCTGTGAACATCTCATCTATCTTGTGGATAACAGAATTCTTGGGTGTGGATTCTAGATATGAATCCTGAAAACTCCACAGGGCATGGATCTATGGTCTTTTTTCAACCTTCAGCTCAGTCCCTTCTAGGAACTTAGGTTACCTGCATAGAAGCTTCGCAAATCGGTGTCCAAACAGTTCTCCAAGAAGCGCCTCAGAGGTAGGATGTGCCCCACCGGGGCGGTCCAGTCCGTCAAGAAATCTTCCACGATGTGGTGGATGGCAGTGGGCCGAGGCAGGGCCCAGTCAGCAGGGCGGAACCTCACCTCCTGCTCTGTGGGGAGGTGAGGGGGGGAGTTGTGTCAGAGCCCAGAGGCTGGGCTTCCCATCCTGGAACGGACAGCATGGTTCCCACACATCCCAGGTGCTTCCCTCGCTCCCTCGCGTTCAGCTTTCCCGACACACTCTGTGCTGGGCAGCGGCCAGCCTCTTCAATAGCCATCTGTGTTTGCAAGGCTGGCATGAGGAAGAGACTAGATCTGTTCCTTGTGGTATCAGAAAGCGGAACCAAGACTGATCACTCGCACTCTGTGTCTTTCTAAGGCGCACATGGACTGAGGTCCATTGTGACTGCTTCAAAACTGCTCTTTCTGTGAGGACACTCAGAGGCCCTGCATCGAAAGGGGCCTGAGAGCTCACCTAGTCCAGCTTCGCACCTGGTGTGGGCTCCCTTCTGTGGCGTCCCAGGCTGACGGCCATTAAGCCATGACTCAACCATCCTGGTACTGGGAAACTCGACTTCAGGGGCGACCCATTCCACTGTGGGACAGCTTTGACTAGTAGTTGCTTCCGATTCTGAATAGAATCCTGCGTTCCTGTCACTGATACTACCTCTGCTTGTTTTTAGAGCATCATCTTCTAAGTCACAGCCCTTCAATCTCTGAAGCAGGAGTCGCGTTCCCCGGGGGGGTGGGGGGTGGGGTGGGCGGGGAGGGTCATCTACTGGTAGCTACTCTGTGTCAGGTACCGTGCTGGTGTTCTGTGCCTTTTTTTTTTTTTTCTTAAAGATTTTTATTTATTTTTTAAGTAATCTCTGCACACAAAGTGGGGCTTGAACTCATAGCCTCAAGATCAAGAGTCACATGCCCCACCGACTGAGCCAGCCGGGCGCCCCACATTCTGTGTTATTTATGTCACTTATCCTCACACAATCCTACTGTTATCCCCATTTCTCAAATGAGGAAGCACAGGCTCAGAGCGTTCAAGTAATGGTCCCTGGCCACACGGCAAGGAAAGCACAGCCCGAGAACACTGCCTAGTTTTTCTGCGCTTTTTCAGCGGCAGGCCCATGTGGACCACTTCCAGCTCCTTTCCCCGTTCCCTCTGAGAGTCGGTCTCCAGGTCCCCTCCCCCTCCATGCTCGGCCTCCTTTGGAGACACACAGCAAGACGGTCCCTCTTACTGTGTGGCGCCTGGAGGAGGTCACGACACTCCATGTGTGGCCTGCCCAGGTCACGGTATGCGCCAGAATCTGGGAACACTGTTTCTTATTCCGGGACCTTCTGCCCCATTCGGTTTCTGGGCAGAGTCCCCCAGTGTCCTCTGTCAGCCGGGAGAGTTGTGTGAGAGGGGAGGTGTGACAGGTGAGAGACCCGCCCAGCTCCTGGAAGCCTGCGCTCGGGGGACAGCTGAGGCCCAGCTCACCGGTGGGGAGGTGCCTGTAGTAATAGATGACCGGATGGAGGAAGTTAGACTGCCAGGCATCTTCCGTGTGCCCCACAGACCGGTCATAAAAGAACACGTCCTTGTCGGGGCCAGAGAAGTTTCTGCCGTACTCCATGTTGATGACGAAGAGCCCATGCCTGGCCTTCCTTCCTGTGATGGTCTCCAGCTGGGCCAGCATCTGCATGGGGAACTCCTCCAGGTACTCAAATGCCGCGGCGTTCCTGGGCATAATGGGGGGGTGACCCTCAGTGCGGCAGCAGAGCTGAGGGGGGCGTGTGCGGGTGTGTGCACGTGTCTCTCGTACAGTGCATGGCCTCTGGTCACCCCCACGCACCTCACTTTACCATTACTGTCACAGCTGAGCCCTGGCTTACATTGGGACAGATTCCAGAAAACTCTGAGCAACCTGAAACGTATCTGGGGCAAGAGTGACCCAGGCCAAGAGAACAGTAACAGAAAAGCCCTGGGAGGGAGTGACTGCCTTGGTGTCTTCGAGGGACAGGAAGGAGGCCCATGTGGCTGAAGGGGCCTTGGGCAGAGGGGCAGGAGAGGGACTCGGGGGCAGGTTGAGGAGGGCTCGAATGTGCCCTGAGGGCCCCCGGCCCCTGGAGAGTACTGAGCAGAGCTGACTGTGTGTGATTTGTGTTTTGAGAGGACCGCATTTGTGTTTTGAGAGGACTGATTTGTGTGGAAAGCAGACCACGGGGCAAAGGTGAGAGGCTGCAGTTAGTTCAGGTGAGATGCTGGGCGTCTGGACCAAGATGGCAGTACTGGGACTGGGGAGAGGCAGTCAGATTCTTGACATAATTTGCAGGTAGAGCTTACGGGGTTTATGGAGAGTCTGAATGTGGAGGATGGGAATGGAAGAGAGGAGTCAGGGTGATGGGATATCTTGCGCGGGGCGCTGTGAATTCCTTGCGTGTCCCTGAACTTGATGTGTGTGGCCCTCCCCGGCTTTGGGTCAGACTTCTCCCGCTCTGACTGAGAGATCCCCCCTGCTTCTCACCTGCCACCTGTCCTCGGAGCGCCCTCACCTGCAGCCCTTCTCCCTCCCTGCTTTGCTGGGTGTCACCTGTGATCTGCCACCTGTCACTTAATTGATAAGGAGCCAACACAGTCCTGGCCCGAGGGAGCCCATCGATCCACACTGGTGATATGCATCACTGTGGTTTACTGCTCATCTGCTTGGTGCCAACTGCGGTCTACCAGTGACCTTTACTCCTGCCTGCAAGGTGTGATTATCCCCATTGTGCCACTGAGAGAAAGGCTCAGAGAGGCTGAGTGACTTGGCCCAGGTCACCCAGGTGGAAAGTGACAGAGCTGGGATGCACACCCAGGCCTGTCTGCCTGCCTGTGGAGCCCATGGTATCGATTTCCCTGACGTTTTCCCCCAGAATCGATCTTCCCTACCCCCCCACCTCCCATGCAGGCTTCACCTTAGGAGGGAAGCACGGGGCCACTCCACACCTGGAACAGGCAGAGAAGAGCTAGGACAGGGTGAATGGTGAAGCCAGGCTACTCACTCCTTTAACAGGACCACGTCGGCCAGCACACCGAACATCTGGTAGAGCCCAGAAGCCTCGTTCACGCGCCGGACGATGGAGCTGGTCAGCTGTGAGATGGGGTGCTGGGTGGAGGGCCAGGCGACGTCGTGGTGGCGATGCTCCAGCAGGCGGTGAACAGCACGCACTGAAATCAGGCCAGAGGGAGGGACAGCATGCTGCCCTTAAGATTTGATCTTTCACCACCGGACACACGTCCAGTCCCCATGGACCTCTTGGAACTCAAGGCACGGTTGCCTGTGTGGCGCCAAGAGGATGCCTTTGGAGTGGGGTCAGCGAAAGCTTCCTACTAAGGGCTGGATGGACAGTGTTCTGGGCTTCGCTGCCTGGTCGGTCACACTACTCAGTTCTGTTTCCAGGGTGAAAGCAGCCCCGGAGGGTAGCTGCAAGGATGACGGGGCCAGCTCTGGCTCCAGGCACCCACAGGACCTCTCCCAGCTGCTCTGCCAGCCCCGGACCCCATGCCTCCCTCTCACCCCGCTCCCCTGCCCACAGTTCCTCTTTCTCCCAGACCCCCAGCGGGAGACCCTTTCAGCGCCCTCTCTCCTTCACTGCCTGCATCCGAACAGTCACGGAGTCCGAGTGACCTAAGGGCAGAAAAGCGACAGCTATCCCTCTGCACAGGGTCGAGGAACACCACAGCTAGTGGAGCGTGGGGAGGGGGCCCTGACGAAAGGGGCTACCATCTCGAGAGAGCCTGGCCCATTCTGGGGAGCAGGCGAGGGCCCAGGCTGGAAAGGTGAGCTGGCCCGGGCCTGGCAGAGCTTGGAATGGCACGCCGAAGAGCTGCGGCTCTCGCAGGGGAGGTGGGGAGCCGCGGAGAGACGCTTAAGCTGTAAGCACAGGAAAGGCAAGATTTTGTTGTTTCAGGAAAAGGTGTTTCGGCAGGGACTGTGCAGCGGCTGGATGGGAAGCCAGAGAGACCTGCAGTGGTAGGAAGACCAGTCAGGAGAGACGAAGAAGCTGCAGGTCAGGATATGGAGGCGGTGGGCTGACAGAGATACGGCAGGGGGACAGACGGGCTGGGCGTTCGGAATAACCGTCCCTGCGGTTATGGTCTGCGTCCTTCGTACTTTCTCTTCTTTTGGCTTTCCTCTGCCTTACTGAATGCTTCTGGTCTGCCCTGGGACCGGTTTCTCAGGTTGGAGCAGGAGGAGCGGGATGTGCACAGCCACACCAGCCCTCCCCCAGCAGGGCCCTCCGCTCGGCTCGTGGTGGTGACCACACAGCGGCCGGTGCCTAAACACCCAGGACTGTTGCCCCATCTGCCCGAAGCTTAGTGGTTGGCTATGAGCTTTCGGGTCAGACACGTGTGGATTCAAATTACCCTCTGCCATCCACTGGCTGGGGGACTTTCGGGAAGTTACTTAAGTTCTCTGTGCCCTAGTACCCACATATTTCAATGAAAATTACAGTTGGATTACATCAGTAATAATGGAGCGGAAATGACAGGATCTGCAGATTTCTTACTGGGGAGACACAGCTAAAGGGACAGACTCTTCCATTCCGGGGTGTGTGTGTGTGTGTGTGTATTAGATATGTGGATGTGTGTGTGTATGTATTCGATATGTGTATGTGTGTGTATGTGTGTGTGTGTGTATTCGATAAGTGGATGTCCTGGTTTACAGACAGCTAACACTCTCTCTCTGGTTTCCTTCTCTGACCACATGCATGGGACATAAAATATATCATCTGGAAATCAAACATGGCTACTTTCCCCTGCCAAACTGGAAGGACAGTAAAATGCAAAAATGAGCATTAAGCTAATGGCAGCATCAAATTAAATACAGAACTGATGGGATGCAGGACGCAGGGTGCTTCTGGTGTTTGTGGCAAAATCAACTAACTGCCCCTTGTTAACACTCGCCCACCCAGCAGCCTGCCTGGAGTGCAGAACATTTATGCCCTCAGAACTGATGTAATCCAACTGTAATTTTCATTGAAATATGTGGGTACCCAAAGAATCTGTGCGTGATGCTTCGTAGCTACAAGGTTCCTAGGTATTATCTTAGTTTGTCCTTAAGACAGCCCCACGAGGGCGGAGAGTTCACCTCATTTACGCCTCTGATGCCACGCCGTCCAAGAGGCTTACGGAGAGGTCACGAAGCCTCACCTCTAGACCGCCCCGCCGGGGAGGAACCCCCACGAGCATTCCTCCAACTCTGCCTTCTTGCCAATACCTGCTGCTTGACTGGCACAGGGCTTGAGCATGTAATATGCCACCCCTAGATGTACTTGCTTTCACACCTTACCTGACGCTTTTCTAGATCTATCCCCAGCCCACGAAGACCTGTTGCCCTCTGTCCCAGACAGAATTTAAGACAATCGACTACCGACAAGCACTCCCATGAAGGCTGCTGCCAATCAGGTTATGTTTACAAAGCCTGGGGATGGTTCTCTCCGCCGGGCTCACCTGTGTATCGGAATCCATGGATGAAGCCCCCGGCAGACTTCCGGTAATCCACAGAGTGGCTGGCGGTGCCCAGCACAAAGAGGCCCCGGCTTCCTTTGGACTCATAGCTAGCTTTGACCAGCGGGTACTTCTTGCTGAACTCACCCCCGGAAGACAGTCGGAGGGACCTGTGAGTAGAAAGGGTTGTTAATAAAAATCACTGCTGTGTATGAAATGCTTACTACGTGCTCCTCACTGAGCTAAGCGTACGTACGTGCTTTATATTGCTTATTGTGTTGAAACCACACCAGGACCCTAGGAGCCGGGTATGAAGATCTCTGTTTAACAGCCGGGTATGAGGCTCAGGGTGAAGATGTGGTGGGTCAGGGACAGAGCCAGGATTTGAGCCTGACTTGAGGCTAGGCTCTGGGCTCCGACCAGGCCCGGGGGACCTTCTGGGCGGGCATCTGCTTCAGGCCCTCCAGTTTCTCCTTGTCTGCCTGCGCCTTGGCCAGGGGAAAGTGAGACACTGGACGGATTCTTTGATACCAAGCCTTGCCAAGGTACCTGGGGCAGCAACATCTCAAGCAAAGCAGTCGAACTCGCAATTATAAGTGAAGTCGGCGGCTACCATTTTATGAAGCATATAGTATATGCCGAGTACTTACTCTGCCTGAGCCCCCCTTTCCCGTCTCTCGGGTGGAAGATCACGACGCAGATGAAGACCCACTGTTGCTGCTGCTCCAGGATGGAGGGCCTCTGGGCCGCCCATCCTCGTGAGGACAGCGAGCTCACGTCCTGGGCAGGGGACCCGCAGCACCCATGTCCACTCTGACGGCGCCGTCCCGAAAGCCCTGCCGCTAGCCCACAGGGTGGTGACTCTCTGCCCCTGGGGACGTGTCAGAAGGGGTTCACGAAGTGACCCCAGCTCCACCCCTGTGTGGACTCACTCGTTGAAAATGGAGAAGTCGAAGTTCCAGCCCAGACAGCGGATGACCCGGTCGTAGGCCACACGCATGGCAAAGTTGTCGTTGTCGTCCTGGGGGAGGGTGATGGTGTCGGCACTCTGGTTGCCTTCCTCCAGGAAGAACTTCAGGGTGACGTGGAACTTGCCCTCGCGGTCCTTCACGACAGCCAGATCCGTCAGGTCAGACTCAAGCAACCCATCCAAGGACTTCAGCTGGTAGGTGTCCAGCAGGCCATTGTTGATGGCCCTGGGGCCCGAGGGGAACACCAGGAGAGAGAAAGGAGTCTGAACGGGGCACAAGGAGATTCAGAGGAAGGGGCACTTGTTCCAGTGGGGTCAGGAATGGCTCTCAAGGGGGCTGGTGGTATGGAATCCATGAGCAGCTCATAGCGTACCTGAGATCTCCTACGTAGTGGGTGGCCCATGACAGTCGGACCCGGGAGCGGCTCAGCATGTGGATAAAGTTGGTGACACCCAAGATGTTCTCTGCTGTCTCGAAGGCAGAGTTCCCACGCCCCAGGATCAGCACATTCTGACCCTCGAAGTCCTTGGGGTCCACGGACACAGACTCGTACCCCTCCACATATTCGGAGCCAGGGAAGTCAACCTGGTTGGGGACCGACAAACCGGTGGCCACAAAAAGCACGCTGCAGGGAAGGGACAGACAGAAGACGGCTTAGTTTCTGAGCTGAAAGACCACGACGTGAAACTCACTCCCTGCCCCTGCTGCCTGGCTGGCCCGCCTCCCCCAGGCTGCTGGCTCCTAAACAATCCAGAGGAGAACATCCCTTCATTCATCTGTTTACTGACCTATCCCAAAGTATCCGAGAGACTTCACCCTTGCCCCTCCCGGGCCCACTCCAGTGGACGGTTCCCTTTACCCCGTACTGGGATGATGCCAAACACAAGAATGAGTCCAACTCTCTGAGAAGGGGACACATGAGAACTTGAACAATTCCCCTAATGTTGAACACAGCAGTTAGGCCAAGTGTGGCCCTCAGTGGTGAAAATGAAACTTGGCGGTCCACTTTCCCCTTTCTGACGGCTGGGCAGATGCAGGGGACTGCCGAGCAGGAATTCTGTCTCAGGCCCCTACCCAGTGTTTCGTGCATCATTTCATTGCCTACAGAAGCCCTGAGTTGGTGTTATTTGACCTGCTTTACAGGTGAGGAGACACAGGCCCTGTGGGCCCCTGGCCTCCCAAGCTCCTATGACAGCAGAGCCAGAATCCGAACCCGGGTGGGTGTGATTCATGCTGGCGGGCATTACTTTCCTGTTCAGGGCAGCTGGGAGCAGGCTCCCGCCGGCCCGCAGGATGGTTTGATTACAGGCGGTTTTGAAAACAGAACCGCACGGCCCGAGAAGACACCGCAGGCCCTATGGCTCCTTGTTTTCTCACCCTTGCCCACCCAACTGAGATCTGAATCCCTTATGCTGTTGCCTGACTGTCTAAAACGCAAGGCTCCCAAGCTGACGGAGCCCTTCTTTCCCTGGGCCGGAACAAGCAAGTGGCGAGGCTGGGCCTCCGGCAAAAGGCCTGAGAAGATGAACTCCGGGCACTTGCCTGGAGCCAAGTGGCAGCCCCAGAGCCGGGAAGGGACAGGCAGTCTGGTGTAGCAGAAAGGGCACAGGCTCAGACCATGTGACAACAGCACCAGTGACTCAACTTCTCTGGGCCTCGGCTCTTCATCTGTAAAATGAGGGTCAGGGAACAGTCCTCGTGAGGGCTGAATCAGGGCAGTACAGTGTGTGACTCTGAGTTTGGGCTGTCTATACGACATTAAGCTTTCTCCCAAGCCAAAGCTAGCTAAAACTGATTGCTGGCAGCCCTGCCTGTGGGGCCTCCCGCTCTAGTTCAGGTCTGAAACCCCACGGAGCCCATCTAACACTTGCTGGACACTTTTCCCGGAATGTCTTCTGAGGAACACTAGTTCTAGGAGATGCTCTTCAGAAAGGGCTTTGCGGGTACATAAGCTAGACGATGCCGGATACCCAAGGTTGGTGTCACAGTGAACATGACAAACGGATAAAATGTCTAAAAAAAAAAAAAAATTACTCTCTCATTTCTTCCCCACATACCGCCGACCAAGGGGTGCCAGCAGGTCGGCTCTGGGATGGGTTCCTTACCCGCACCGGTGTGCGTGACCCTTCCGGTCCGTCAGGATGAAGTAATGGCCGTTCCAGGCCTGCCGGTCCTTGTGCAGAGTGACGTGGGCAATGGTCGTGTTGTACAGCACGTGGAGCCCCAGCCGGTCTGCGAAGTCGCCCAGGTAGCGCACCATGTCGCCCGCGTCGGGGAAGTAGGCGCGGGAGTAGTGTCTGAAGAGCAGCCCGGGGTCATGGCTGAGCAGAGAGTTCCAGTCGTGGCGCAGGTTGAACTCGGCGTTGGCCTTGCCCGTGTGCCGCTTGTTGATGCTGATGAGCTTGCGGTGGCGCGGGTAGCGCGTGAAGAAGCTGCCGGGCCGCGGGGCGCGCTCGAACACCGCGTAGTCCCTCCCCGCCCGCTGCAGGAAGTAGGCCATCTGCAGGCCCGCGGGCCCGGCGCCCAGGACGCAGTAGTCCCGGTGAGGGGGCGCCGAGGTCTGGGCCGCGCGCAGGCACAGAGCCGGGTGGAAGGCGAAGGTCAGGAGCAGCCCCGGCGGGCCCCACAGCCGGGCCGCGGCCGAGAAGCCCATCCTGCGGCAGACCACGGATGTGAGGCCTCGCACCCCGGATGGCCCCTCGAGGCCCGGGGAGATGGGAGAGGGGCAGGGGCTCGCCTGGCTGCTCACCGCAATCTGAGGTCGAGCCGGGACCGGAACCCAAGGTCCTCTGAGCTCATCTGCCTGCCCCCATCCTTTCAAGCCCGGATCTGGGGCTCCCCCCAGGAAATCCGAACGCCTCCATCTCCTCCAGGGCCTCGGTTCCCAGGAGCGCCACCCCCGTTCTTACTGCCATGGTGGCACGAGGGTGGGTGTTCCCCCACTCTTCCCCTAATTTAAGGGGTGCCCAACACCCTTCCCGAGCCCTCCCCAGCTTAGACCCTCGAGGGGCCGGTCTCTTAGGCCCCGCCCCGCCCTCGAGACCGAAGGAGGTGTGGCCTCCGGGCCACGCCCCCGCCAGGTGCCCGGCGCGCCGGGCTCCTCGATCACGTGACAGGGATGGCCCAGCACACCTGCCGCCACGCGACGCAAGGCCACACTCCTGCCGGCGCGCGCTCTCCGGGGGCCGCTCTCCGCGCGTGCGCGGTGCCCACGCCTGCAGCGCCTGCCTCTCGGCACGGAGCGCGGACCTCCCAGCCGCGCGGGAGA